ACTACAGAACTTGGCCAGACTTCCTTAAATAGTATCTTCAGAGGATAAATAGCAAATATCTAATCTCAGATACAATGATGAAAATTTTTGCAATGACCCAATCCACTAGACATACTATTAATACATTTCATTAATAAGATGCCATCTTTGTCATATTAATTACTCCCCAGTGCCCTACTGGCAACCTCAAGGCAGCCTCCGTTCATTAATTTATCTGTATCATAACACATTTCTGAGGTTAGGTGGTACTTGAGAAATCTGGCTTCTGGCCCAGGAACTATGTCCTGCAGAGGTAAAGATTAAAAAAAAAAAAAAAAAAAAAAAAAAAACCTGCTACAAAGAAGTGACTAATTCATAAAATTCATCACTCACCAATTTTTGAAAAGCTTTCAAAGACTTTCTACTCACTCCAAGAGCAGAATGACTAAATCAATAAAGAGCAAGTAGCCTCCTTTTCTGACTGATTTTAACAGCAATGACGTTTCTTGGGTACATTCGTGAAAATAAAAGATGAAGCTTTTAATATTACTACAAAGCTAAGCTAAAACTCAATGGCTTTTGGCTCTAAAATGAAAATATATAAAGTCACCACTCCATGCCTATTGCTGATTCAATTAATTCAGTTGCCTGCGTTCCAAACAGGTGAGGGTAAACAGCAGATTATCTTAGCTCACTGATAATCTGCTTTAAAAAAAAAAAAAAAAAAAAGGTAATTCAGTCTCAGAGACTTAAAAACTAACTCTAACACCAATGTTATGCAATACAAAGTCCTGTGTGGATACCGTTATTTCTCTTTTATAATCTGGGTATTTCCTAGACATGTTTAGAATAAACTTTTCTACAGCAAAAATAATGGAGTAATGAATCTATCTACTGAAAGCATTTTAATAGTCACTTTATGATTTTAAAAGTCTATAACTCACCTGATGAATACAAGACTTAGAGGATGAAACTCAAGATCCCAGTCTTTCACAACAGGGTGCGCTTCTATACAATGTCTCCTTACTAGAATCTGTTTGTTTTTAAAATGTCAGTATTGTTTTAAACTGGCAACAAAGAGGCTGCTTTCTTTCAGCTCTCTGTAGACAAGCTTCTGTCTTAGGTTGATCCTACTCAACACTAAGGACCATGGCACCGGGACTGATTCTTTTTTTTTTTTTTGAGACCAGGTCTCGCTCTGTTGCCCATACTAAAGTGCAGTGGTGCAATCTCAGCTCACCGCAGCCCGTACTCCTGGACTCGATCTTCCCACCTCAGCCTCCCAAGGAGATAGGAGTGCAAGTACTTGCCCCATGCTTGGCTATCTTTTTAACTTTTTGTAGAGACGAGGTCTCAACATCACCTAGGCTGGACTTGAACAACTAGGCTCAAGTGATCCTCCCACCTTGGCCTCCCAAAAGTGCTGGGATCACAGCTATGAGCCAACCGCACTTGGCCTGGCAGATTTTTATACATTTAATTGACTGCACTGAGCAGGGCGCAGAGGCTCACGCCTGTAATCCTGTTCTGGGAGGCTGAGGCAGGAGGACTGCTTGAGCCCAGGAGTTCGAGATCAGCCTGGGCAATATGGTGAAACCTCATCTTTATAAAAAATACAACAATTAGCCAGGTATGGTGGCGTGCACCTGTAGTCCCAGCTACTCGAGAGGCTGAGATGGGAGGATCACCTAAACTCAGGAGGTCGAGGTTGGAGTGAGCCATGATGGTGCCACTGCACTCCACCCCAGGTGACAGAGTGAGAACCTGTTTCAAAAATAAATAAATAGACTGCACTTTAAGAGGTTGGTGGTGAGAACTAAAAGGTCACTAGCATTCTTAGCCTTCCACTCCAACCATCCTAGGAAATACTACCTAATAAGATGTCATAATTCTTAAGTAAACACCTAAAACCCTGGAAATATAAAAATATCTTCAAGCTAGGTGCTGTGGCTATGCCTGTAATCCCAGCACTTTGGGAGGCCAAGATGGGAGCATCACTTGAGACGAGCTGGGCAAGTAAGACCTCATCTCTAAAAAAAAAAAAAAAAAAAAAAAAAAGGCCGGGCGCGGTGGCTCAAGCCTGTAATCCCAGCACTTTGGGAGGCCGAGACAGGCGGATCACAAGGTCAGGAGATCGAGACCAGCCTGGCTAATACGGTGAAACCCCGTCTCTACTAAAAAATACAAAAAACTAGCCGGGTGAGGTGGCGGGCGCCTGTAGTCCCAGCTACTCGGGAGGCTGAGGCAGGAGAATGGCAATGGCGTAGACCCGGGAGGCGGAGCTTGCAGTGAGCTGAGATGCGGCCACTGCACTCCAGTCTGGGCGACAGAGCGAGACTCTGTCTCAAAAAAAAAAAAAAAAAATTAGCTAGGTATGGTGATATGCCTGTGGTCCCAGCTACTCAGTTGAGGTGGGAAGATCACTTGAGCCCAGGAGTTTGAGACCAGCCTGGGCAACAAAGTGAGTCCCTATCTCTACAAAAACCAAAAATAAAAAAAAACTTTAGAAGACAAAAAGTTTACAGTGTGGCCCACAGACTAGAAATACTGATTTACTATACACAGATGTTACCTGGGGATTCGTACCCAGCACATAAGGAAATAGAGTCCAAGTTATCTCTTTCAAAGTATTTTCTTTTCTCCTCCCACCCTTTCCGTCACCCGACACGGATCTTCAGAGTTTATAAAAACACAAATGATACAAATGCAATCTCAACCCATCTCACCACCACCCTGGAGAGTCCTTACCTTACAATGGAGAATTCAGACCCTGGATGATGGCAGTTAAAAGTTCATCAAATCTAAACTGATCACTGGTCTGAATGACACAGCCGCTTTCATTGCGATATTATCAGTACTTAATTTTCATGTGCCCTTGCCAAAAAGATGTGAAAGAAAAGCCAACAAAGGGTTTAAAACTCTTCATCTGTGCTGTCATATTATTAAGATGGTCCAGCTGTGGAGCTGAAAAAAGAACTCTTTGGCCGGGCACGGTGGCTAACATCTGTAAACCCAGCACTTTGGGAGGCCAAGGCGGGCGGATCATGAGGTCAGGAGATTGAGACCATCCTGGCCAACATGGTGAAACCCCTCCTCTACTAAAAATACAAAAATTAGCTGGTCAAGGTGGCGCATGCCTGTAATCCCAGCCACTCGGGAGGTTGAGGCAGGAGAATCACCTGAACCAGGAATTTGGAGGTTGCAGTGAGCTGAGATCGCGCCACAGCATCCCAGCCTGGCAACAGAGCGAGACTCCATCTCAAAAACAAACAAACAAACAAAAAACAAACAAAAAAAACCCCTCTTCATTCCTAACTCCCTAGCCCTGATTCACTTTAAAAAGAAATGAAAACCTTCTCCTCACACAGTTCTTTGATAATTTGTTGATGAGGATCACTGTACAGCCCAACAACAAGGAAAAAAATGTATTCCCTTCATGGCAAAAAAGGAAAGTATAAAGGGTAGTTGCAGGAGAGGTAAACAACATTGTAGCAGAAAGGGAAAGAATTGCAACACTGCCAACTCTGATCAGGTGTGCTAACAGAGAGACCAAGAAGAAGGAACCAATGAACAAAAAAATTTACTGATGTTTAAGAATACATTTTGAAATATACATACACCAATATCTAATATTCTGTCCTCTGGTTATGAACCCCCACCAGGGGATTCATGTTCAGAAGACAATTCTAGGTGGGCACTTACAAAGGACACGTCTAAGTTGATCAATTAAAAATCTGTTGGGAAAATTAACCAGTAAAATATGTTTTAAGGCGAAATGTAAAAGAAGCATAAATTGATGTATAACTTATTCAAAGCTATATCAATGATATGCAGAAAAAAACAAAACCTTTTTTGAGTGTGTACCACATGCTCTTAGATTACTAAGAGCTTTAAATAGATTCCCTATAATACTAACAATGACCCTGGGAGGTAAGCGGTATTATCACACTTTTAGAGTTGTGGAAATTAAGAGTCAGAGAAGTTTAAGTAACTTGCTCAAGGTCACATGGCTAAGAAATATTAGTCTAGTATTTAAACCTTAAAATTAAATTAAAAGTCTGTCCAATCTCTAAAGACTGTCCTTTTCTCTTTATATCTTACTGATACACATACACACCATCACTAATCATTTTATTCCAGTACATAATTAGCGTTTTCTAAGTCAGTCATCAAATGGAATAAAAATCACCAGCGTCACTCAATCTTTTCCCACTACAAATCATAAAGATATTAGGAATCAGCCAGGGCTGCCTTCCAGTCACTTAGCTTTTCTGTCACATGCCATGAGCCTCTAGTCTCTGCTACCAGAAACCTGAAAGCTTCAGGAAAACTGCATTTATAAGTATGTTCTGACTCCCTTTTTGGCACCAACCCATGCTGCTGAATGCCCAGGATGTTTCTTCTGCTAACCAAGAATTCTTCAGACCAGCTACAAAAGAAAGAGCAGCCACTATTTATTTATTTATTTTTTTACAAAAAAATTCCCACTATATCCTAAAAAGTCGGAATTCTGAAATAGACTGGACTCAGACACCAACTAAAAGCAGCATCACTCATCACTCCCCAGCTTTTAGTTACAAGCAGCTAAATATTCTCCTCTAAATACCAAGGGATGACAACCCAAAGCTGTGAGAGGGGAAGAGATCTGATTTGACAACAGGCTGAACAGAACGCAGGCTAAGTTCCAGTTTTTAACAACGTAAGAAATATGATCGACACACAGACAAAATACAATGAAAATGAATAAAGAAGAAAAGAAGACATGGGGTAGGGGACACGCACTCACTCCTAGGCATAAGTCATTTGAAGACATACAGCAATAGTTTAGGACGGAAAGACAAGAAGCCCACAGACAATTAAACTTGTAAAAGTAATTCAACCAGAGCTGGAACAAAGCCAAGAACAACACCCAAACTCTTTGGGAAACTGGTAGGAATTTTATGACTGTAGTGGTCAGCAGTTGAGCATCAGGGTAGTCTGTCTTGAACTCAAGAATTTTAATGCCTCCAACTCCCACTCACCTTTCCTCCTTTTATCACTGAAGTAAGGCCAGGTTGAGCTCCTGAGAAAATAGGTCTGTCGATTCACTGAAGGACTGAGAAAAGTTAAAATTTACATGGCAAAGGTGTGTCTTCTACTGAACATAATAAAAATATTTATGAATACACTTCAGTATGTTTAGGCCTTCTCAAAACTATTTAAAAGCAGAATAATTTATCTAATTCTAATTACTGAATAACCCACACGCATATGGAAATAAAATGAACCAACATGAAGATTAGAAGCCAGGCAAGTAATCTCCCAGCTCCACTAAAACGTAAAGTCATTTAAAAGGATAACCTGAATCTTTTTAACGCTAAACCATAACCAAACAACCTCTCAACAAGAAGCCACAGAGCAGAGGGGGAAATCCCGGAGAGAATGTGATAGCGCTAGTGCCGGTTTGTTTACAGAGACTCCAGTAACAATCATGAGTCAGAAATTCAAGCCACCAGATGCTTTCCAACTAACAGGGACCAAATGGGACCGTTCTAAGATATCCTAAAAGATTTGGGAGTTAGAGGAGGTAAACTAAGAGAATTATAACACAAAGGGTACAAGACCACAAGGCAACAACCGACTCCGGGATTCTTGGACCTCCGCCTTCCGTACAAAGTGCTGGGCCTGGGAACTTGGGATGGGGGAGGGGGACCCATTGCGCGGTGGCCCTGAGGTGAGGGGGAGACGCAGGGCGAGCCATGTCCCTCAATCTAAGGGGAGAAATAGGAGCGCACAAATGGGTCACCCAACGAAGCAAGGCGTCCCTGTGAACTGTGGGGCTGGCTCTTGGGGGCAACCCCAGGGCTGACCTGAGGAAAGGACAACCAGTATTCCCGGCGATGACTTCGGGTCGGCGGAAGGAAAAGACCTGAGCGCTAAGAGCTTGGGAAAGGGGTCAGGCCCATCCTTAAGGGAAACCGGCTGGGGAGCGGAGAGGGGGCAGGCCGAGCCGGAACGAGACACAGACCGGGTAAGGTCAAGGGGGGGGGGTGTCCGGCTGGGGCAGTTACAAGCACGGGAATCGGCGAGGCTCAGCAGCCCGCTTCCCGTCTTGGGTCATCCTTCTGCTAGCGGCTGCTCCGACTGTTCCAGGCCCAGCCGCCCCGTCCACTGCCACCACCAACGCCGCCGCCATCTTACACTGGCCAGCGGCCGCCACCACCACCGCCTCCGCTCTCTGCGCTTGCGCCTGCGCTGCCACGCTTTCCGGCCCCGTTTGCGACGATGTGCTCGAGAAGACTGAGGGAAGAGTGGTCGCGCGAGCTCACGGCTCGCAACCCTCCTCGAAGGACGCACAAGGGGCGGGGCTTAAGACCAACGGAAAACAGAGGGAGGGGCGCGTGCGCATTACCGAAGAGGCAAAGTTGTTTTTGTAGTTTCTTTGGGCTTGCTTTTCTTGTGATACTCAAAACAAATGCGAGTTAGGGGCTTCCCAGAGTTGTGATAGAAATAAACTAAATTGCCAGGCTACCTCCTGGATGATGGCCAATTTTGCCGTTTTTGAATACTGGGAACGAGCAATGATTGCCACAAGGATTTTTCTGAAAATACCCGTTTCCTTTCAGGACTTCGTTTCCTTAAGTGGTTTCTATACTATCGAGGCCCATTTTCCCCTCAGAGTCTCCATTTACGTATTCTTAAAGAAGGGGCTCAGTAGCTTGAGGTGTAGCTATTCCAGAGGCTCTTTTCTGAAGAGGGGTGGTGTGGTAAAAGTTCCCATATCGGGTGATATGGGGTGACTGTTGTACCCTGTTTCGTTATGACACCTACAGGAACCGTGCAGAGGATTAATCCCAGCTGCCAAGCTGGGGAATTTTTTTTTTTTTTTTTTCCAACCAGAAGGCCAGGGTGCAAAAATCTGACCCTTTCTCACCTCCCCTACCGCTACTCTCCTAGTCCAAGTCATTATATATTACTTAAGACTACCGCAATAGAAACTTACCTCGTTTGTCTACTTCCATTATTGCCATTGCAATTAAACATAAGGCAGCCAGAGTGATTTTTTTAAATGTAAGGTCTGGCCGGGCGCGGTGGCTTATGCCTGTAATCCCAGCACTTTGGGAGGCGGATGTGGGCGGATGCGGATCACTTGAGGTCAGGAGCTCAAAACCAGGCCAACATGGTGAAACCCGTCTCTACTAAAATTACAAAAAAAAAAAAAAAAAAAATTACCCGGCGTGGTGGAGCGTGCCTGCAATCCCAGCTACTTGGGAGGCTGAGGCAGGAGAATCGCTTGAACCCGGAGGTGGAGGTTGCAGTGAGCTGAGATCGCACCACTGCACTCCAGCCTGGGTGATGGAATGAGACTCCATCTCAAAAAAAAAGTAAGGTCGTATTATTTCCCCAGTCCCCACCTTGTTCAAAACCTCCAGTAGCTTCCCATCACATAATAAAAGTCAAAAGTATGATAGCCTTAGAGGCCATCAAAAAATCAGTTGCCTCTAAGAAGGGCCCTACATGATCTGATCTAGCACCTGCCTATTTATCTGATTCATCTCCTCCCGCACTGCCTAGCTCTGTTCTAGCCTCACTAGCCTTACTGTCACTCCAATCAAAGCATGTCCCAGCCCTAAGGTTTTTTCCTTTTCTTGGAATGTTCATCTACTAGATCTTTACTAGACTTGAAGTGACTATTGAAATCCTACTTCCTAAGGCAGGCAGCTCTTGACTATTTTAACTAAAATGAAACCTCATGCCATTATTCTCCTCTATCCCCTTCCTCTGCATTGTTTTTTTCGTAACATTTTTTACCTATAACATTTAATCTAAAATTACATATTTGTAATCCAGCTATACTACTAGAATATAAATTCTTGAGGGCAAGGACTATGTTTTTATCAGTTTTGTAATCTCAACACCTAGAAGAGGACTACAGCACAAAGTAGCTATTTAATGCCCCATCATCCTATTCATTCTTTCATTCATTCAGTCAACAACTATTTATTGAATTCCTGCTCTGGAAGGCCCTGTTCTATGTGCTGGGGCTGCAACGGTGAATAGAACCAAGATTCTTGCATTCATGGAACTTACTAGTGCAAGGGTTGGGAGCATAGGAGGAGGGGAAAGACACACAGATAATAAAGTTATTAAGAGTACTGTAAAGGAAAATAAAGCAGAATAAAAATGGGTTACATGGATGGGTGTGCTCTTTTACATAGTGGGTTCAGGGAAGGCTCCTCTGCTGAGGTGACATCTAAATAAAGGTTTGAAGTGAGACAGTAAGCTATACATACTTGGGAAAGAACATTTCAAGCAGAAGAAACAACAAGGTAAAGACCCTGCAGCTTGAGTGTGCTTGGCAAGGAAGCCACCGTGGCAAAAGAAGAGATAGGAACTTAGTTTGGAGAAACAAGATGGGAGCCAGATCACTTACCGACTTATGGACCAATGAAAGGACTTTGAATTTTATCCTAAGAATGCTGGGAAGCCATGGAGGGTTTTGAGTAAAAGAGTGGCATGATCTGATTTGTAATTGAAGATGTTCACTGTGGTTGATTCTTTGAGAACTCCCTATAGGGAAGCCAAATAGAAGCTAAAAGACCAGTTAGGAAGCTATTGAAGAAGACCTACAAGACGAGTGTTGCAATGAAAGTGGTAGGATTCAGGATGTACTCTGAAAGTGGTAGAGAGGTGATGTGTTAATAGATTGAATGTGGGGGACAAGATAAAGACAAGAATCAAAAATCAGTAAAAAAGTACAAAAGTCAAAGTACAAAATACAAAAATCAGTTTGATTTGAGTAACTGGATAGTGATGTCGTTTACTGAGATAGCGCATGTGGGGAGACAGGAGCAAGGGTTTCTTTTTTTGGCAGGGGGAACGTCCAATTTTACTTCAGACATATGAAAGTGGAGATCCCTATTAGATTTCTGAATGGAGTTACTGAGTAAACAATGGGAAATATGAACCTGGAGCTCATAGAAGGGACAGTGAGAGGTATAAATTAAGGAGTAGTTAAGTTATAAATGGCATACATAGCCACGGGGTGGAGAGAAATCAATGTGGAAGAAAAGAGAAGCAGTTTAAAGACTGAGACCTCTAATCCTGAGGCATTCCGAAATAAAGGTCAGAGAGGAGGAACATACAACAAAATTTATTTTAAAAGAGTAGCCAGGAAATAGGAAGAAAACTCAAAAGTGAGGGGTCTTATAAAACAAACCAAAAAAAGGCTTCAAGAAGGGGCTATAATCTCCATCATTCCTGCTCATAAAACAGGTTAAGATCACTGAAAATTGACCATCGGATTTGGAAAATGGAGGATCAGACCATGGCAAGTCATCTTAGTGGAGCTATAGGGATAGAGGCCTCTCTTTCTACGATCTGCTTTTTGTACCGTTTTGTGGACACAATGGTTATTACCACCAAATCAATTGCCATTACCACTGAATTGTCCCTTTCTTATTTGGGCTTTCCTATTTGAGGTTGTGATGATTATTATCCCTTGTGTATCTATCTTATCTCTCTAATCATTTATTCAATTAGCTTCTCTTCCCCTTCATTCTATGTGTTCTTTCAGTGATTGTATCCATTCTTACATTTAAACTACTGTCCAGGGCTGGGCGCAGTGGGTCACATCTGTAATCCCAGCACTTTGGAAGGCCAAGGTGGGTGGATCATTTGAGCTCAGGCCCAGCCTGGGCAACATGGCAAAACCTCGTCTCTCCAAAAAATACAAAAATTAGCTGGGCATGGTAGTGTGACCTGTAGTCCCAGCTACTCAGGAGGCTGAGGTAGGAAGATCTCTTGAGCCTAGGAGGCAGAGGTTGCAGTGAGCTGAGGTCACACCACTGCACTCCAGCCTGGATGACAGAGTGAGACCCTGTTTCCAAAAAAAAGAAAAACTACCATCTACATAATGATGACTTCCAAGTCTTTATTTCCAACTCAGGCTTTAGACTCACATACCTGATGGCCAATGGCACTTTTTTTTTTTTTTTTTTAACAGCTTTCTTTCTCCTTTTTTCTCTTTCTTTCTTTCTCTTTTCTTTCTTTTTCTTCCCTCCCTCTCTTTCTCTTTTCTTTTCTCTTTTTCCTTTCTCTCTCTCTCTCTTTTTTTTCTTTCTCTCTTTCTTTCTAGACAGAGTCTCTGTCGCTCAGGCTGCAGTGCAGTGGCACAATCTTGGCTCACTGCAACCTCAGCCTCCCAGGTTCAAGCTGTTCTCCTGCCTCAGCTTCCCGAGTAGCTGGGATTACAAGCACCCGTCACGACACCCGGCTAATGATTATATTTTTAGTAGAGATGAGGTTTCACCATGCTGGCCAAGCTGGTCTTGAACTCCTGGCCTCAAGTGATCCACCCACCTCGGCCTCCCAAAGTGCTGGGATTACAGGCATAAGTCACCGCACCCAGCCTTTAACAGCTTTATTCATATAAATTCACATACATATAATTCACATACAGTTCATTCATTTGAAGTATATAATTGGCCAGGCACAGTGGCTCACTCCTGTAATCCCAGCATTTTGGGAGGCTGAGGCAGGCAGATTGCTTGAGTCCAGAAGTTCGAGACCAGCCTGGGCAACATGATGAAACCCCATCTCTACAAAATAAAATACAAAAATTAGCCAGGTGTGGTGGCATGCACCTGTAAGTCCCAGCTACTTAGAAGGCTGAGGTGGGAGGATCACTTGAACCCAGGAGGCAGAAGTTGCAGTGAGCTGAGATCACACCACTGTACTCCAGCCTGGGCAACAGAGGGAGAGGCTGTCTCAAAAAGAAACAAACAAACAAACAAAAAGTATAAATTCACTCATTTAAAGTATATACTTAAATGGCATTTTTTGGGGAAAAAATGTATTCCTAGGTTAAAAAAAAAAAGTATACATTTCAATGGCTTTTTGTATACTTATAGATACATGTGACTATCACCACAGTCAATTTTAGAGTATTTTCACCACCTCAAAAAGAAACCTAGTGCCTTTTAAGCTAATCTCCATTCCATCTTCCCATTCCCCCAACCAGAACCCTAAGAAACCATTCATCTATTTTCTGTGTCTATAGATTCCTTAACTCTAGACTTTCATATGAATGGAATCACATAGTATGTGGTCTTTTGTGACTGGCTTCTTTAACTTAGCACAATGTTTTCAAGGTTCATCCATGTTGTAGCATTAATCAGTACTTCATTTCACCTTATGGCCAAATAATATTCCATAGTGTGGATGAACCACATTTTATGTGTTCATCTGTTGATGAATATTTCAGTTGTTTCCACCTTTTGGCTATTATGAATAATGTTGCTATCAACATTAATATACAAGTTTCTGTGTGAATGTGTTTTCATTTCTCTTGGGTATATACCTAGGAATGAATGGAATTGCTGGGTCATATGGTTAACTCTATATTTAAACATATGAGGAACTGCCAGGCTGTTTTCCAATGCAGTTGTACCATTTTACATTCCCAGCAGCAGTGTATGAAAATTCCAATTTCTCCCCATCCTTGACAACACTTATCTCAC